AAAACGTTGAGTTCCGCTTAGTTTTGGTACGTCCACAATACATCATCTACTTTTGTCAATTGTGTTAAGCTTTTTGTAGCATTCTCCTTTCCGCTGGTATTAACAATCTATTAATAGTTTTTCTGAATACGTTGTCGAATTAAAGCTGTTTTGTAATCTTTTATCCAGTTGAGTCTCAAAATTCGATGTTTCTGATTGGATAAAATAGTGAAGTCGACCAGCAAAACGGACACTGTTATGGTATCTCTTTTATTGTCGTTGATTCCGCCAAATTTTAATAATCTCAATAAAAACAATGCGACATCGCTGTTTGCAATTTATCTGGAGCTTCATCCCTACTTCTGTAGCGAGGCGAAGTTAATGTTTTCGTAATGTATAAGATGAATGGAACAATAAGCTTCAAAACATTTTAAACTATCTATAATAATCTCCTTGGAATTTATAAATTAACCGTCTATGAGAGTAGTGAGAATATCTCATATCAAAATATTTACGTACATATTAACATATTAAGAATATTAAAAAAAAAAAAACAATTGTGTGGTGTTATGAAACCATGATGCAAGTGAAACTTTTCGGATGGTAGGCATTTACCTGTAAATTTTCGGAAAATTACTCCATTTAGAATATTAAAATCAATGGTAGACAACTATAAATTTTAATTTCAATCTGCGTATGAGTACGGAATACATAATAAATGCAATCATTCAGATGATAGACGCATGTTAAACACTGAGAATAATATTTATTTAAGTCACTGAATCATTTTGAACTTCAGTTATTCTATCAATAATCTCATCTTCGCTTTGAGTTTCACAGTCTATAAATGTAATTGTCATGCACTTGCACGAATGAGTGAGAATATAAACGGTTAGCTCATGCGAATCATGGTCGCCATCATATTGGCCTTGGCTGCTCTGTCGAGCGCCTTTCGATTTTATCCCTACTCCGCGGCCAGCTGTAATGCGACATGCAATAAATGGACGAAGAAATTCGAGGCGATGCAGTAAAAGTTTCACTTTAAAAGTTAGAGATCAGCTGTTTATGAATAATATTAGTTCTATTGACTTCAAGTTGATTACAATTAGTGTTTTTTTATTATTGTAACAAACCATCTTAGTAGGCACGCTTTTAATGAGCGATAATGATTTTAATTGTTCAATTGCGAACAGATGTTTTCTGAATGTAGGATTAATAAACATGCTTGCTTTATATTTACACGAAATAGATAAAAACGATCATTCTAACTTTCACATCCATAAAGTACACTAAGCAGATCCCTTAATAAAACATTCGGCTTATTGTATAAGGACTACAGATAATAGTTTAGAACAGGGATGAGCAACACGCGGCCCGCGGGCCGCTTGCGGCCCATTAAACATGTTTATGCGGCCCGCCAGGCATTTCTAAAATTGACTTTATTTTATCGACTTTAAATCGAAAATGTTTCCTTCACCATTTAATATCTACGTGGATACAGTTCTCGAAGACTTTCAAATGGAAGTTACTGACATGCAGAATAATAACGATTTAAAAAATGTATTTTTCTCAGTAAACATCAAAAAGTTTTATAAATCGTATGTGAACCCTGATAAATTTCCGCTTTTGACGAAAAATGCAAAGCAAATGATGTTTCTATTCGGAAGTACGTACATATGCTTGCGAACAATTATTTTCAACCATGAAATTAGTCAAAAATGACCACCGATCAAGACTCAGTGATGCACGATTAGAAAGCTGCGTACGTGTAGATAGCTCATCAATTCCGGTTGATATTGATCAGCTTCTATCGAAAAAACAGTGCCAAATTTCTCATTAAAAATTTCAAGACAATTCGTTTTATTGTTCTTTTCTTGTTTGTTTTTATTTTGCATTAAAATTTGTATATGAAATCTTTGCTACAGTCGAACCTGGATAAGGGAAAACTGGAAAAGTGAGAAAACTCTATAGGCGACAAAAATAGTCAGGTCCCGTCATTTTTAGCCCCGAAAGCCTCTGTGAGTGACAGTGTGAATACCTCTTTTAGAGAGAGTCATTTTTCACTTCTAGACATTTGTAAGTGACAGTTTCTTACTCTAGACCTCTGTAAGCGAGACTATTTACAATTACTAGACATCTGCAGCACACTTGTGCGCTTGTTCCTACCTGCTCATGGTA